TAAGTATATGCATGCTTGGGAGATCACGTGTTGTGCTTTCCTAGTTTTTGGCTAAGAATGCATAGTTGCTGAAGAAATGGGTCGGAAAGGAGGGCTCTAGGGAGCTTGCATGCAACTTTGTAGCCACCAGGAGAAGAGATATTACTATGAAGATAGGAACAAGCAGGTAGAAGCTTCTTCCTGGAAAACAGGAGGCAGCACATGGGACTGGTCTGGGATTGGAAAAGTGGACCCTGAGTCTTACCTAGCAAAAAGGCCAGGAAAGTTTCCTAGAAGTGAAGTGATAAAAGCACTGCTTCTAAGTGTCATTTGGGCTGGGCGCAATGGCTCATGCCTGTAATCCCAGCACTTTGGGAGGCCAAGGCAGGCGTATCGTTCGAGCCCAGGAGTTCGAGACCAGCCCAGGCAACATGACAAAGCACTGTCTGTATAAAAGATAAAAAAAAAAAAAAAAAAAAAAAAAAGGTGTGGTGGCACGTGCCTATAGTATGAATTATTTGGGAGGCTGAGGCAAGAGGATTGAGTCCAGCAGGTTGAGGCTACAGCTGAGCCATGTTCATGTCACTGCACTCCAGCATGGGTGAGAGAATAAGACCCTGTCTCAAAAAAAAAAAAAAAAAAAAAAAAAAGTGTCATTTGGAACATTCCAGTACAAATGAGCAAACCTAACACCCAGATCTTAGCTTCTAAATACCATTTTCCCTTAAAAGGAATTAGGGCTCTTTAAGAACTGGCTGATTCCAGAAGTGTAGCTGGAAAAGTACAAGATAAGCCTGGAACATCTTGCTACGTGGAAGGCAAAGATGTGCTCAAAGAATGCAAGGATGTGTCAGAAGCATAAGGGGCCAGTTGAAGGAACTAAACCTGGGACAATTTGAGCTTCAAAATAAATATCAACAGTACAGATTATAGCTCATGGAATACATTAAAAAGCCATGGGTCTACAGTTATGTAAATATATAAATGAGAAATAAGAGAAATCTCTTCCTTGCAGTAGGATGACAACTATTAATAATAAATATAGAAGAAACGATGTAAATGAATGTAGGAACGATGGAATAAGAAAAGAATCACCATTTGACAACAACCATTTGGGTCCTACCCAGAAAAATATGTATTTTTTTGCTACAAGGCATATTAGCATAACAACTGGTTAAATCTGAATGGGCCTGTATATTGGATAATAGCTATATGAATGTTAATTTCCTGGTTTGGATAATTGTGCTGTAGTTATGTAAACTAATAACTGTTTTAGGCAAGAATCACCAAGTGATGTTAAAACTAAGGGGAAAGTATGATAAGAAGCAGAATTTTTAGATAGTCTAGATGTATCTCCCCACCAGACTCTTACTAATTACAAATGAAAAAAAAAAATAGTAACTTTACAGTGTAGAAATCTCACTGACCCCACATTAAAAAGTGTTCAAAGTAGACATAACCTATAATTGGCAGTAGATCACATTTGCCTTCTGTGATGATGCACTGAGAGAAACATCATTATTTCTGTGGTATTGATTCCAAAAAGGCATAACCTGAATCAGTCGTGGGCAAGTGTGATGGTTAATACTGAGTGTCAACTTGATTGGATTGAGGGATACAAAGTATTGATCCTGGGTGTGTCTGTGAGGGTGTTGCAAAAGAGATTAACATTTGAGTCAGTGGGCTGGGGAAGGCAGATCCACCCTTAATCTGGTGGGCACCACCTAATCAGCTGCCTGCAAATAAAAAGCAGGCAGAAAAACGTGAAAAGGAGAGCCTACATCTTTCTCCCGGGCTTGATGCTTCCTGCCCTCGGACTGGCTTCCTTGCTCCTCAGCTTGCAGGCAGCCTATTGCGGGACGCTGTGATTGTGTAAGCTAATACTTAATAAATTCTCCTTTATATATATAACATATAATTGGAAATATGTATATATCCTATTGGTTCTGTCCCTCTAAGAGAACCCTGACTAATACAGCAAGCATCGGACAAACCCAAAATGAAAGACACGTAACAAATTAACCGGCCAATAATCTTCAAAAGTGTCTAGGTCATGAAAAAGACTGAGGAACTTATGGGAGACTGACGAGACATGACAACTAAATGCATCACATGATCTTAGATTGGATCCTACCCAGAAAAATATATTTTTCTTTTGCTATAAGGATATTAGTGTGAGAACTGATGAAATTTGAATAGGTCTGTAGATTGAATAATAGCTGTATGAATGTTAATTTCCTGGTTTTGATAATTGTGCTGTAGGTATGCAAAAGAATGCCCTTGTTTCTCGAAACACACACAGAAGAATTTAGGCATAAAGAAGCATCATATCTTCAGGGTACTTTCAAATGATTCAGAGAAAGAGAATGAAAAATCATCTCTATAAAATGTTAACATGTTGGGAATCTGGGTTAAAAACATATGGGAATTCTTCAAAATATTTTTGCAACCTTTCTGAAAGCCTGAAACTATTTTAAAATAAAAGGTTTAAAAAAATTTTTTTTTAATTTTAAAATAATTAATACAAAATTCCAGGGAGCTTCTACTAAAAAAAAAAAAAAAAGAGAGAGAGAGAGAAAAGTCGCATGGAATCCCATACAGGGTGGATGGGGTAAGGCTGGGGGTAGGAAGAGATTTCTTTTCTTGTACCCACAGTAGGTCCAGAGTGGTGACTGCCCAGCCACATTTCCTATTTTCCTAATGTTTCCTGGCCTAATTTCATAATGCCTACAGCCAGGAAATACCGGCTTTCCACCTCCCTTCAAACAGGCACCCACACATTCAAAGCACAGATGTACACTGGAATCATCTCTGAGCATCCCTTGAGATCACACTACCCAGAGGGCAGAAAGCCCAATACCCACCTCTAACTAAAGGTCTTGATTATTTTGCTGATTGTGTCTCCTCTCCAGCTTCAGTCTTCTCTTGGCCTCCAAAAATCTAACCAAAATTTTACAAGGTTTCAATTTCGAGAAACCACATGCTATACTGGGAAGAGCACTGAATCCAGAGTCTTACCTCTACCATCGACTAGCTCTGTGAGCTCAGGTAACTCACTTCTATAGTCCTTGTACATAAAATCAAGACTTTGAACTGAATCTTCTTAATAATGGTCTCTTTCACCTCTAAAAAGTTGATAGGTATTTTTTAAAAGACTCCTGACTTTAGATAGGTTGCATCACCATGAGAACAAACTTTTCCTCCTGAAGTGAAGAGATGAGATCTCGCACTTGATTCTCAAGGTTGACCTTGGTTTGAGTTCATGACATTAACATTGCTTTAGTCAAGGGAAGGATGACAGCCAAGAGGCAACATTCCTACACCCAAGTTCTATTTTATCCCAAACCCTGCCAGCTTTGCTATGTTTAGCTTAAACTATTTCTGGATGCACAACAGTTAATCACCTCCTCCAGTGAAAAATTCAAGGAGAAAAAAATGCAAAAAAGTCCTATAATCACTCCTGAATGCCCCTGACTCTTCTCCTGGATCCCTCTCTCCCACACCCTTCATCTCTGAGATTTCTCTGCTGTCACCATAACAGTGTGCACATGAGCTGTCCCCCTGTTTCTGGAATGCTCAGTTATCTGTTTCCTTTAGTCTTGGCTCAGATTCAGCAGCTACAAGTTGTCAAGGAGTTGGGAGAGAGAGACTGTGCCCAATCTGGCATGAAAGCAGGACCTGGGCACACACATTTTAGAAAATCATTCTTTGGGCTTGGCCTTCTCCCTGGGCTGTTCATCCATGCTAACATCTTTGACTCTTTTTCCCTAAGTCCCAAACCTCTAGAATATCATCTCTTCTCTCAGTGACTACTAAGCACAACTCCATTTACTTTTTCAGATTTTTCTCTAATCTGATTTTTCCTTTACTCAAAGAAAAAAATTCAAGTTAGAAAAATTTGTGCTCAATTTTCCTTGTGGGGCCAGATAAGGGAATACAATGGAAGTCTTATATCCTGCAGGAATGCAAGGAATCCCGAAGATGGGCACAGGCTGTTGGAGCTAAGAGTGCTTTTTATAACTGAAAACACAAGAGCAATGAGAGAGTGGTACAAGCTGGATAGACCTAGGGGGCCCACTGAGGTCATGAAGTTTCTCTAAAAAAGAGGAGGTAAAAATATTTTAATTCCTCTAACATGTCAATTTTGTAAAATTATGAGAATAACAAAATATAAAAATGTTAAACACACAAAAAGTAAAAATATCAGTACAATGAATACCCATAGCATTTTGCATATTTACTTTCTTATATTTTCATATGTATTTCCATATTTGGTTTAATATATTTTTGTGTGTTATATTTGCATATGTATGTGTGTGCTTGTGTGTACACCATTATAAAATGCCATATATATATATATATATATATACTCTAATTTCCAAAAAATAAGGACATTTTGTGACTTAACACCAATAACATTATTACCCTTGAAGTTAACAAAAATTCCATATCATGTAACATCCTGGTGTCTAGTCCATTGTCCTAGTCATACAAAAAAATGTGTTTTTAGTTGGTTTCTTCAGAATAGGATTTAATCAGAGTAAGTAAGTGGTCTAGCTGACTATACAGCATTTTGCATTTATCTCATGATTTCCTCTTGGTGTCATCTACCTTATCTCTCTCTACTGTTTTTCTTTACCTGGGAGATTGTATCTAAAGGCATGGTTAGATTCAGGTTAAGATTTTTGGTAATCACTCTTCATAGGTGATGCTGTATAGTTCACATTATAACATATCAAGAGGCATACAATGTCAGGTTGGGAAACTAAATTTGACCACTTGGCAAAGTGCAGTCAGTTCTGCTATAATGCCACCTATGCATTCGTGAAAATCACTGTGCTATGCAAAACTGCACATTATAAACCACAAGACTCATGAGGAAAATTAGGTTAGAGGTCACATATTCAAAAACTTTGTCAGTGACATGTACAAAAAAAAGATACCTATTAAAAATAGCACAGTTTTACGTATGGGAAGTCATTAAGAAATACATAAATACTGCAACAAATATGGCTCTTTACCTTGAAAAAGGCCTGAAATTTGTTTGTGGAGTTAGGCATCAGGTTTCTTGCAGCTTGTGAGTTACTGTGAAGTAGTGGAAGGAGGGTCATTTGAGGTTGGTTGGAATTTCCAACACTAGATGTGGATGGGAGTGGCTTGCCGCACAGGCAGTGAAATGGGGTAGCTGGTAGATGTCTGAGGTGTGTACATGTGTGCACTTTGTGTATTCCTACGTGGCTTGGTTCAGCTGGGTATAGTTTACTGCACATACCTAGTGTTTGTTGTGTACAAAGCTGTGTATAAGCATATGTGAAAGTGTACTATGCTCAAAGTATATCAATTGCATTAGAAAGGTTTACATTTCAAAACAGATTATATGAGAACTGACTGATTTTGTAGCTTACATCTTCTCCTTTTCTTGATCAATCTAGCTTGATGTTTCACCAATTTTGTTGATGTTGTCAAAGAATGAGCTGCTGGTTTCATTGACTTTTTTCTATTCTTTTGTTCTCTGGCTCATTTATTGTGCTCTTATCTTTATTATCTCCTTTCCTCTTTTCCTAGCTTTCTAAGGTGGAGGTTTAGATAATCAACTGTAGATCATTTTTCTTTTCTAAGTTTTTAGAGGTATACTTTTCTCATTAAGTACTGCTTTAGCTGCATCTCACAAATCCTGATAGGTTATGTTTTCACTAGCATTGAGATCAAAATATTATCTAAGATTTTTCACTTTTGCAAAGATGGAGTAAACATACCTTTTCCTATTTAAGTATAGCTAAAATTCCTGGACATTATGTATAAAATAAATGTAAGAAGACTCTCATAAGCAAACAGCAAACGGCAGACAGGCTGGGGACCTCAACACATGAGGGATGACGTGACTCCACAGTAATACTCATGAAGCAGAAGCTTTGTAAGGATCCTGAACTCGAACTCTGCCCAGTAGTAATGAGGCGGACCCACCCACTGCTGGGTATCCATGAAGGCCAACTGGGGAACTTAGACTTTTATCCCCACCTGTCAGCAACAAGACATGCTTCCTCTGTCCTACTGGAGCAGTGTCAGAGGAAGCCTAATAAGGAAAAGAAAATAGACTAAGTAAGATCCACTATCTCATGATATAATACTGAAAATATTCAAGATTCAACTGAAAATCACTTGTTATACCAAGAATCAGGAAAATCTGAACTTGAAGAAGAAAACAATGATTAGATGAATGTATTAAAGCAAACTAAATATGGCCTGAGAAGGACTCCATACTTCTATATTTGAGTCCTTGTGGATGAACTGCAACCTACCTTAATAGGTAGACAAGATTGAAAACCTAACTTAGGAGTATGCACCTGTAACAATTGCTGACTCTGGGCCAGTCCCAGCAGCCATACTTCAACCACTCATACACTGCTGAGTGTTCAAACTATGTTCAAATAAGGCAAATGCCAAGCTGTAACCAATCCAGCTGTTTCCGTACCTCACTTCTGATTTCTGCACGTCACTTTACTTTTTTTGTCTATAAATTTGTTCTGACCATGATGCACCTCTGGACTCTCTCTGAATCTGCTGTGATTCTGGGGGCTACCTGATTCACAAATCATTCATTGCTAAATTAAACTCCTTTAAATTTGATACAGCTGAAGTTTTTCCTTCAACAGATGCCAACATCAAGATGACACAGATGTTAGAATTATCTGACAGGGATTTTAAAGCTGAAATCATAAAAATGCTTTAAAAAGAAATTATGAATACTCTTGAACTAAATGAAAAAATCAAAAGTCTTTGCAAAGGAAGAGAAAGCTTCAGCAAAGAAATATAAGCTATAAATAAGAACCAAATGAATTTTTTTTTTTTTTTGAGATGGCGTCTTTCTCTATCACCCAGGCTGGAGTGCAGTGGCACAATCTTGGCTCACTGCAACCTCCCCTTCTCAGGTGCAAGCAAGTCTCTTGCCTCAGCCTCCCAAGTAGCTGGGATTACAGGCGAATGCCACCACACCCAGCTAATTTTTTATATTTTTGGTAGAGATGGGGTTTCACCATGTTGGCCAGGTTGGTCTAGAACTCCTGACCTCAGGTCATCCACCTGCCTTGGCCTCCCAAAGTGCTGGGATTACAGGTGTGAGACACTGCACCCAGCCCCAAATGAAAATTATAGAACCAAAAAAAAAGATGAACTAAAAACTCAATACGTGAAGTCAGCAGTAGAATGGAGAAGACAGAAAAACATAAAAAGTGAACTTAAAGATAGAACAATAAAATTATCCTATCTAAACAACAGAGAAAAATAGACTGAAAAAAGTTAACAGTCTTGGGGACTTACGGCACTATAACAAAAGATCTAACATTCATGTAACTGGTCCAGAAGGAGAGGAGAAGGATGATAGGGCTGAAAAAGTATTCAAACAAAGAATGGGTGAAGGCATAAAACTACAGATTCAAGAAGCCAGATGTGTCTCAAACAGGCTAAATCCAAAGAATTCCATGCCAACACACATCATTTTCAAACTTCTGTAAATTGAAGACAAAGAAAAGTTCTTGAAAGCAGTGAGGAAGAAATGACACCTTACCACTTCGGGGAAAATCGTTCAAATGACAATGGATTTCTCATCAAAACCATGCGAACCAAAAGGAAGCGACACACAATTTTCAAGTGCTAAAAGAAAGTTGCTATCAGCCAAGAAATCTGTATTCACTAAAAAATATCTTCCAGGAATGAAGAGGAAATCAAAACACTCTCAGCTGAAGGAAAACCAAGAGAATTTGTCACCAGCAGACCTACCCCCAAAAATGGCTAAAGGAAGTTCACTAAACCAAAAAAAATAATAATAATAAAATAGGAATATTAAAACATCAAGCAAAAAGAAAGAACAGTGGAAAGAACAAAAACATGGGTACAGAAAACTTTATTTCTTCTCTTGAGTTTTCTAAATTATGTTTGAAAGTTGAAGCAAAAATTGTAATACTTTCTGACTCGGTTCTCAATGTGTGTAGACGAATCTTTTATAAAATTAACATTTATTTTAGATGATTATATTATAAAGGAAAGAGGGTAAATGGATATAAAGTGAGGTAAGATTCTAGACTTCACTGTAACTGGTAAAATATTGACAACAGTAAACTGTTATAAGGGATGTGTGTGTGTGTGTGTGTATGTGTGTGTGTGTGTTTCTCTTCAGCAACAGACACATTTCTAAGTAGCTCAAAGTTGAAGCATTTGACATTGACCAATTCAGCTTTGGCATTCTGTTTTAAAAAAAAAACAGCAAATGTACATTGAGTGTGTGGCCAATGATTTCTTGAAGATCTAAGGGCTATAAACTCGAATTCCTCCATGTCTGAGGAAACCAGATTTTTTTTTTCTAAGATTTCATTGTTCTTCTTTTCATTATTATACTTTAAGTTCGGGATACATGTGCAGAACATGCAGGTTTGTTACGTAGGTGTACATGTGCCATGGTGGTTTGCTGCACCCACCAGCCCATCATCTACATTAGGTATTTCTCCTAATGCTAGCCCTCTCCTAGTTCCCCACCCCCTGACAGGCCCTGGTGTGTGATGTTCCCCTCCCTGTGTCAATGTGCTCTCATGGTTCAACCATTGTGGAAGACAGTATGATGATTCCTTAAGGATCTAGAACCAGAAATACCATTCGACCCAGCAATCCCATTACTGGGCATCTACCCAAAGGATTATAAATCATTCTACTATAAAGGCATATGCACACATATGTTTATTGTGTCACTGTTCACAATAGCAAAGACTTGGAACCAACCCATAGGCCCATTAATCATAGACTGGATAAAGCAAATGTGGCACATACACACCATGGAATACTATGCAGCCATAAAAAAAGGATGAGTTCATGTCCTTTGCAGGGACATGGATGAAGCTGGAAGCCATCATTCCCAGTAAACTAACACAAGAACAGAAAACCAAACACTGCATGTTCTCACTCATAAGTAGGAAACCAGATTTACACACTTCAAAATATGACTAAGAATGAAACGTAATACATAGATTCTATAAGTGTCCAGAAAACAGAGAGTACTTTGCTTGATCAAGTATTTAGAGAAGGCTTCATCAAAGGTAACAGACAATAAAATGGGCCTAAAGAATAGTTGGGATACAGAAGGTGAATATGGAGAAAGGCACAACATGGCATGATGCAGTTCTCAAATCTGGCTGACCGTAAGAAGGACCTAATTACTTTGGAAACTACAAAGGGCCAACCAGAAAGCTCCCTGGGTGTTTGCAATGATTAGCCAGGTTTGGGTAATCACAGGTTAAAACAAGTTTAATACATGTTGACTGATTCAATAACTGTGCAACAACATTTGGTTGTTTCCACATAATTATTTGATTCCTATAAAGCATATTTCATAAAAAACTATACCAAGTACACTATGAATACAATACCAACTATGGTAATAATTGATTAGATGATATAAATTCTCTTATTTACAAGAACATTAAGTTCAAGAACACCACCATGTTTATGAAAAAGTCAGATGAAGGCACAATTCTTTCTTGCTTATTTTCTGGTGGCATATTTTGCCTCTTTTTTTGTCTCTGTTAGCTCCCACCACTCTGGCAGCACTGGGGACTTCTTAGATGGTGGGCTGGCTCAACAGCCTTCTTCAGGTGAATGGGGATCTCTTATAAAGCTTCTGCAGCATTCAGCCCTTTTTCTTCCTTGGAATACGTTTCCTTGGGTTTTCCCCCTCTTCCCTCTGAGGGGTAAACCTCAGACACCTGAGATTTCAGGGTAGGCCTGGGTAAACAGTCCAGGAAGTCTTTCCTTTTGCTGTGGAGAGAGACTCTCAGAGTCCATGCGGGCTGGCTAAGCAAGACACTTGGTTAGGCCCCAGCAGGCCCTTTCCCCATCCTCATCCTCTCCTCTCTCAGTTTTGGGGGGATCAGAGGCTGGGGCAAGATGGGGTCTGAAGTTCCTGGGTACCCTAACTACCTATAAATCTTTCTCCACAAGATGCAAGTCCCACAGTGTTTCCTAGAAGCTTAGATGTGAAAGACCTGCAAACACATAGAAACTTTAAGCATCATAATTAAATCACTTAAATATAGTTACTTTTAGAGCAAGTTGGTATAGTAGGGTAA